GTTGAGTTTTGAAGGTTTTGGGGCCCAGCGGGTTTGGGGATAGGTCTGGCTTAGGAGTCGCAGCAAGGGTTGCGACGGGACCGCGAATCTGAAGGGTCGTCATTTCGTCCTCGAAATAACACCTGACGATCATCGCTTGTAGACACAAGCAGAGTGAATTTGGAACTAGCCACCCATCCCGTGTCGAGTCACTCTTTGCTGAATTGGCGGCGTTACAATACCAGGCTAGGAGCAGGTTCCGCCTGCCCTTCGTTCCGATTGGTTTGCCCGCTGTTTGGTTTGTCAGACACAAACAGCAACAGACCAACCTCGAATGGAATCTGTTGAAGCAGAGCTGTGAAGGGCACACACTTCCAACACCAGCCATCCTTCATCGCACGGCGTCCTATGGAGCGGCGCCACACCTTGAGCGACTAGCGCGTGCAGTCGCTCGCTTCACAGGTCGATCGCGCTATGGGGAAAGATCCAAGCCGTACAGTTCTGCGATCTGGCGTTATTCATTCCTCACGACCCTGTGTCGCGTCACTGAGCCGCGTTCGTCCCTCTTCTTCGAATTGCGCTGAAGCGTACGATCTGGAGCTTCATTCTACCTCGCGTCGAGAATCCATTCGTGTAATGACGAATTCCACATCGTAGCTGTTTCTGTTCGCCGTCATGTCCACCAATGGTAGCCAAGAGCTGCTCTCGCCGCGAATTGCCAAAAGCGATGCCTTCCAGGCCGACTCGATCACGGCCGCCTCGCCAAAGGCGGAATCGAGTCGGCTTATAGCGAATGGAGAAGACGTTATCGTGCCGGCAGACGAGCTGGAGGATGATCTTGCCGAGTCAGCATCAGCGTTTGGTGGGCGCGCGTTGCCATGGTGCGAGCCGTGGCTGTGGTCGGTGGTTAAGGTGCTGCTGCTCGTGCTGCTCTGGTACACCTTCAGCATGGCGCTCTCCCTGTAAGCATGGCGCTCTCCCTGTAAGCATGGCGCTCTCCCTGTAAGCATGCCGCTCTCCCTGTAAGCATGCGCTCTCCCTGTAAGCATGGCGCTCTCCCTGTAAGCATGGCGCTCTCCCTGTAAGCATGGCGCTCTCCCTGTAAGCATGGCGCTCTCCCTGTAAGCATGGCGCTCTCCCTGTAAGCATGCGCTCTCCCTGTAAGCATGCCGCTCTCCCTGTAAGCATGGCGCCTCTCCTGTAAGCATGCCGCTCTCCTTGTAGCTGCCGCTCTCTCTGGCGACCATTTTCTCCCTAGGCTGGCCTTGTACCTATTCGGTCCCTTTCGGCCTTATTGCCCCTTGTCAGAGGCCTTTCATTGCCCTTAACTGTACCCATGCACTCCCGCCATGCCATGCACTCCCGCCATGCCATGCACTCTGTACTCTGCACGGCGGGCGGTGGCGGGTGGGGTGGGCAGGTACAACAAGGTGCTGATCGGCGAGAAGCACGGGCGCTTCCCTGCACCGCTGATGATGACCACCTTCCACTTCCTGCTGCAGGGCGCCATCGCCTCGCTGCTGCTGCGCTGCTGCTGCCAGTCCTGGCTGCCCGCCACGCCCATCTCCTGGCGCGACTACTTCCTGCGAGGTAAGCTCTTTCGCGAGAGGAGGGGGGTATGTTGGAAGGGGGGGGGTTGACCACGCCTGTGTGGCTCATGCACGTTCTGAAACTTGTCCATCGAGGGTGCTTCAGGTGACTGTCTGGCAATCCTTACTTGTCCACAATTCACCGTGTGTGTCGGCCTGTGCCCCCGTGTGCTGTGTGCTGGTGTGCTATCCACGTGCATGCAGTGGTGCCCACGGCAGTGGCCACATCGCTTGACATCGCCCTCTCCAACCTCTCTCTCGCGCTCATCACCCTCACCTTTTACACCATGGTACGCCTTCCCATGGCCGTTTTCCCCCCTCTCCACTGTGCCAGATCTCATCCGCGTCAGTTCACTGGCAGTCTTTTTAGACACAATTATCCACTTATGTGGTCGTTTCACAGAAAATTAGAGTCTGGCAATTCTAACTTAGCCGCTTTCTCTACGAAGCACCTTGTGATGCATATAGAAAAAATCATCGACTCGTGCATCACAAGTGGCATAAACCTTCACCCCCTCTCTCCTGCCTGCACATATTGCAGTGCAAAGTCCAGCGCGCCTGTTTTCCTCCTCCTCTTCGCCTTCCTCTTTCCGGTTGAGCCACCACCCATGACCGCCTTTCCCACCACACATAACCGCCTTTCCACCACACATGACCGCCTTTCCACCACACATGACCGCCTTCCACCACACATAACCGCCTTCCACCACACATGACCGCCTTTCCACACACATGACCACCTTTCCACCACACATAACCCGCCTTTCCACCACACATGACCGCCTTGCCACCACACATAACCGCCTTTCCACCACACATGACCGCTTTCCACCACACATAACCGCCATCTAGGGGCCAATACCCACGCACCTGACACATTTCACTTCTTCAACCCTCGTTTACCAGCAACAATTCAATCTCCCCATCGCATCACCACTGCCAGTACCAATTCAATTCCCTCATTCGCAAACACTACCCCCACTCTGCTCCCTCTCCCCACCCTCACCATCCCGCACTTCCTCCAAACCCCGCATGCCTTGTGAAGCCTGGAGACGCCAAGCTTCAAGCTGCTGGGCAATCATGCTCGTCATCTCCGTCGGGGTGTCCTTCATTCACAGGTGGGGGCGAGGGGGGGTGCAGGGGGGAACTGGAGGGGGAGGAGGAGGGGGCTAGGAGGCTGTACGATTATCATCCAGCATTTGTTCTTACCACGGCTTCGACTTTCCTCTTGTATCACAAAAAAGGGCCCTCTACCCCAAGTGGCATCACAAGGCCCGATCCGTGCTTCCAACATTCCGTGTGCCCATGGGTTGGCTTGCAGTGGCGGGGGAGACGGAGTTTGAGCTGCTGGGATTCATTCTAGTCATGGTGGCAGCATTTGTGTCGGGTCTCAGATGGGTGCTGCTGCAAGTGCTGCTGCAGGTAAGCCGCTGCTGTGTACTTGCTGTGTGCTGCTGCTTTGCTGCTGCTGTGTACTGCTGTGTGCTGCTGCTTTGCTGCTGTGTACTGCTGCGTACTGCTTTGTGCTGCTGCTGTGTACCGCTGTGTATGTAAGCATCAACTGACCATCCCCTTAATTTGTGTCCTATCTCCCCTTGCGTGTTCCCAACATGTGCATTTTCAACCCATGGAATGTCAACTCACCATCTCCCCACCCCCTATTGCCGATTGCACTGGCGGCAGGGGGACAAACTTGGTAAGCATCCGTTGCCATTGCCCCTTCCTCCTGTCCCACCTCAAGTTGTGCAGCCTCACAGTACCTGTGTGCTGTGCTTGCTCCTGCCACACGCCACAATCCTCCTCTTTCCCGCCATGCCACTATCTCCTTCCAGTCCACCTCGTCCCCCTCAGCTCTCACCACCCCCAATCCTGCGCCCTCCCCTGCCAGGTCTCACCAACCCGCTGCTCACGCTGGCCTATCTGGCGCCGTGATGGCGCTCTGTGTGCGGCGTCTTCTCACTGCTCCACGAGCCCTGGTCCGCGCTCACCTCGTCGCCCTACTTTGACACGTGGCAGCACACCCTCTGGAGCTTCGCCATCATGCTCGTGGGCGGCATCCTCGCCTTCTGCATGGTGCGTGCATGCTTGTGCGTGCATGCTTGTGCATGCATGCTTCTGCGTGCATGCTTCTGCATGGTGCGTGCATGCTTGTGCGTGCATGCTTGTGCGTGCATGCTTGTGCGTGCATGCTTGTGCGTGCATGCTTGTGCGTGCATGCTTGTGCGTGCATGCTTGTGCGTGCATGCTTGTGCGTGCATGCTTGTGCGTGCATGCTTGTGCGTGCATGCTTGTGCGTGCATGCTTGTGCGTGCATGCTTCTGTGTGCATGCTTCTGTGCGTGCATGCTTCTGTGTGCATGCTTCGGGTGCATGCTTCTGCGTGCATGCTTCTGTGTGCATGCTTGTGCTGCTTCTGTGTGCATGCTTCTGTGTGCATGCGTACATGCATTCGTGTGTGTTTTTTTGTGTGTGTGTGCGCGCGTGTGTTTCTCTGTGTGTGTGTGTGTGTGTGTGTGTGTGTTTGTTTGTGTGTGTGTGTGTGTGTGTGTGTGTGTGTTTGTTTGTGTGTGTGTGTGTGTGTGTGTATTCATGTGTGTGTGTGTGTGTGTGTATGTGTGTGTGCGTGCGTGCGTGCGTGCGTGTGTGTGTGTGTGCGTTTCTATATGTGTGTTCATGTGTGTGTGCATGTAGCAGCAGCACCTTTGTAAACCACTGCCCCACGCCTACCTGCCCTTCCCCTCCTCGCCCCCACTCCCACAACCCCTCCATCGTCCCTGGGCCCCACATGGGTGGCTGGCGTGTGTGGATGGCACGCGGCACGGGGCACTGTGCACGGGGGCGGCAGATCATGGCGGAGTTCCTGCTGGTGCTGGAGACGAGCGCCGTCACCTTCTCTGTGGCCGGCACCGTCAAGGAGGCCGCCACCATCCTCGTGAGCCACACGGGGGAGGGGGGGGAGCAATGATGCCAGTGAGAATGAGGAGAAAGGAAGCAGAGGTGTGCAAAATGAGTGTTTCATGCAGTACACCAATGCACAGGTGGTGCACATGTGGTGCATACATGGGTGCATGGGTGGGTGCATAAGTGGGTGGACGGAATAATGCATCCACGCATGCATGTTGTGGTGGCAGCCAAAAGTGCGAGTAAGAGCTCTGCATCCCCTCATCTCCGCCCATGTCCTTGCAGCGCCTTGCTCTCTCGTCCTCATGCTCCTGCCATCCTGATGCCGAATCACTCGTGTGTGCCGCCATGCCTGTTTCTCTGTGCATGCCTCTGCGTCCTCTGTCGCTGCGGTCCTCAGGTGTCGCATGCGGTGTTTGGCGACCGATTCACGCGCATCAACCTGCTGGGCATCCTCATCATCATGCTCGGCGTCTCCCTCTTCAACCTCTACAAGTGAGCGCCATGCTCCTCCACTCACCACCCATGCCAACGCACAGCGCAGTCAGGCAGCAAGGCACAGTGCAGCAAGGCACAGGCGATCAAACATTGTCTGGTCAATTCCACCTCTTCCTAATGCAGATTCGTTGCCTGTATATCGTGCTATCCACCAGCACATGTGCCTCTGCCAGGTGCTGTGGCGATGGTACAAACTGCTGATTGTGTGTGGACGTGCATGTGTGCGTGCGTGCGTGCGTGTGTGTGTGTGTGTGTGTGTGTGTGTGTGTGTGTGTGTGTGTGTGTGTGTGTGTGTGTTTGTGTGTGGGTGGGTTCAATGTGGCAGGGTGTCGCGCAACAAGGCACGTGAGTCTGACGGCCATCTGGTGCACACGCTCAGCGATGCACCCCTTCCTGACCACCCGGGCATGTCCTCCGAGCAACTGCAGCTGCTACACCACCCCCCCTCGCCCTCCTCCTCCGCCCCCCAAGCATATCCTCTCTCTCCCCTCGGCACCCGGGACTCCACGCACGTGCTGCTGGCCACCAGCATGAGCCCTCGTGCCCACGCCCACACGCGACTCACCTCCCCCCGTGCCCAGGGTAGCCCAGCAGGCAGTGCAGCGTTTGAAGTGGCGGGCAGCACCTCTGACTTGAGTGCAGTGACTCGTGCAGGCAGTGCTGATGGCAGGGGAACGGGGCTGACAACATATGATGCCGTCGAGATGGAAGCAATCTCCAAAGGGGAAAAGCAAGCGCAAGTGTAGAGTGATGTGGTAATGCAAGAGACCACTTCATTGCAAGATTCCATTGATCAATTCAAGTCCAGTTCTTCTCTTCTACTGAATCGTGGCCGCGTGGCAGAATCAGTGCTAACTTCACAACATTGCATGCAGTTTGGCGCGGCTGTTCCCTGACTCGTGGAGCCTAAACTCTGTGACACAACTGAGCTATAAGTAATAAAGAGCTCTACCTACACTAGCGAGTATACAGGCAGCGGCTAGGCGGTGGACTTGGAGCCTTCGAGCAGCTTGACGAGGTAGGCGCCGCCCATGTAGAGGCCGATGAGGGGCCCCGCCAGCAGGCACTGCGTGAGCGGGTCGGTGGAGGGCGTGAGCACGGCGGCGGCTGTGACTCCCCCCACCACCACGTAGCGCCAGATGCCCAGCATCTGATCCGCCGTCACCAGCCCCAGCTGCCCCAGCAGCAGCTGGATCACCGGCACCTGCCACCGACACAGGGGGGGGAGGGAGGGTGCACGGCGGGGAGGGACATGGGAGGTAAGACAACGAGAAGAATCAATGGTGGGACTTTGGAATATCTCATGGTGAAATTCTGGGGTATGCGTGGTGGAGGATGTGTGGGCTTATGATCGCGGGGATGTGGGGTGTGGGATAGCGGGTGGCAAGGGTGGAGATGTGCAGATGGATGGTGGTGGGCATCCATGCATGGGGGATGAGAGGAGCTTGCCTGGACGGAGAGGAGTGTGACTGGAAGGGACGGAACTTGCCTGGGAAAAAAGGAAGTTGCATAGAAGGAGAGGAGCTTGCCTGGAAGGAGAGGCCGGTGGAGAACATGAGGAGTAGCACGAACTCGAAGTACTGGTCGATGGACCACAGCGACTCCACCACGCCCTCGGCGTACGAGATGAAGAAGTTGAGTGCGGCGGGCGTGAGCACGGAGTAGCTGAAGGCAATGCCCGAGTAGAAGAGCACCGACGACCCAAACACTATGGGCGCCAGGAAGCGCCGCTCGCTGGCTGTCAGCCCCGGCACCACAAACGCTATCACCTCGTACAGAATCACCGGCCCGCCCAGCAGCAGCCCGCAGTACCCCGCCACCTGCCAGCCAGGGATGGGAAGACATGATGGGGACAAGAGAGCACGAAGCGGGCCACATGGGGCATGGCATGACCACGGGGGATAATACGAGGCATTGTATGGGGCACACTGCAGGGCATGGCATGGGATGTATGTGGCGTGGTGCTGTACTTAAAGTGCCAAACGCGTCTAATTTGCATCGTGAAGCCCCACTCACCTTGAGCGTGGTGAAGAAGTATTCCCCCGGCGAGAGCTGCAGGAAGCGCACGCCCTGGGCGTACACGGGGGCCTCGAGGAACACCACGAGGTCGCGGCTGTAGAAGAAGCAGAGCAGGATGGCGCCGCCCACGGCGCCCACGGACACCAGCACGCGCTCGCGCAGCTCCTCCAGGTGGTCCCAGATGCTCATGGGCACGTCGTCCGGCAGCTCGTCCTGCCCCGGGTTCAGCCACTTCTGAATCGGCGTGCGCTCCTCCTCCCCCATCTCCTGCAGCAGCGCCGGACTCACCCCTGCGGCCCCCGTCGTGAGGCGCACGGAGCAGACACAGGGGGGAACAGCACGAGGGGCGCATGGAACGTGAAAAGAGGGGAAAGGGCAAACAACGGGAGTGCGAATGCGCCCTCCACGTGCGTTAGGGTCAACGCCTCTACTGCGCGTCTATTTCGCGGACCACACGTGCCACCCCCACCTCACGCTCTACGATGCTGCCAGGAGATCCACGTGTACACCTGCCCACTCACAGTTATCTGGTCGCCTCTCGACCGGCTGCGCCTCTACGGCTGTCAACGCAGTCGACGACTCTGCCCCCTCCGCCCCTGCCCCCTTCGCCCCTGCCCCTTCCGCCCCTGCCCCCTCCGCCTCCCCATCCTTCGCCGCGCCAACAGCCCACCGCCCTCTCCGCGTTTGCCGCATGGGCGAGGGAGCCAGCGGCAGAGGTGCGTGCCGCGATTCGCGCCATGCCAGCGACTGCGCGTTGCTTGGTTGCAGACCTGGAGTCGCCGACACTCGCCATGCTCTTACACCTCTTTCGCTTACTCGCACAGGCGATTGTGCGACTGTTGCAAGCGACAGGTGAGATCGCGTCGCTAGTTGGACATCCATCGCCAGTCCCGGCATCGTCGAACTGAGCGACAGCGACGAAGATGCGGTGCGCTAAGGCAGGCGCAGAATGCGGCGAGGGAAGTGGAACGGGGTGAAGGCACTGAAGGAGTGTGTTTGGAATCAGGGTGGGAGCAACTGAGTGCGTGGCGAAGAGTTGGGGGCGACAGCAGGGCGGTTCACGAAACACGATAATGCGCGGGGTGATGGCGACGAGGGCACTGCGGGTGGACCAACTGCATAGCGCCAAGTCGACACCCACGAAATTCTTTCGCGGAGATGTTGAGGTGCGAGCGACAACTTCCTGACTAAAGGGAAAATATGCCATAAGTAACCAACATGGGACTCGATAACGTAAGTGGTAAAAAAAAAACGCGTACGGTCACTGTATCGGGTTTCGTGACGGGCTTGGTAAATGGGGTCACGGATTCAGTCACTAACAACAGGTAAAAAATCACGCGAATGGTCACACATGTAACTCCCGCCAAAAAAACTTGAAACTCAACAAAATTCCCGCTCGCGTCCAACCAATCAGCTAACTTTAAGAAAAACTAAAACCCAATCGGAATCGGATGCGGTTTGGGAACGGATCAACCCTAAACACCTGGCGAGTTACGTGTTTAGGGTTGATTCCGAAAATGCATCCAGGTTCCTTTTGGGTTTCATTCTGTTTTGGCGGGAGTTTCATCTATGACCATTCGCGTTTTTTTTACCAGTTGATAGTGACTGATTACGTGAAACGTTTTATCAGTTGCGTGAAAACACCCCTTGCAGTGACCGTACCCTTTTTTTTTTAACCATTCACGTTATCGAGTCCCAAGTTGGTTACGTATGGCATATTTTCCCCTGACTAAAACCCGAATTTGCCTACTGGTACACCGTAATATCAAGTGGTACAACACTACAAAAACATACATCAAGCACCCACTTGCTTTTAAACAGCTTGGGTTCTCAATGATGCTTGAATACTTGCACCGTGCCTCCCACAGGACTCAACGGCCCTGATGCTCCTCCGGGTCCCTTGAAGTTGGGAGATGCTAGCTTCGCCATGCTCGCATGTGCTCCCTGCTCAAACCCGCCAGCCTGTGCTGCATGTGCTGCTGCAGCAGCAGTGTGGCCATGGGGACCGGTGGAGCCGGGGCCAGCAGCAGCAGCGGGCGAGGCGTGAGCCTCGTTGGCTTCGATGGCTGCAGAGCGGCGAACCTGGGAGGTGAGGGTGAGCAGCACGCCATGCCATGATGGCAGGATGAGGCACGTCGGTACAGTTAGTGACACTGTGATAGGGGCAGAGCAGTTCGGTTCTTGATACCAATAGGATTATGCACCGGAAAGACATGTGGTGACAGATGGGTATGGTGACAGATGGGTATGGTGACAGATGGGTGTGCAGCAAGAGATGCAACAGAGGAGCAACACAGCGAGAAGGTACTCACTGCTGCGAGGCGTTGGCGATGTGCCTCCGTGACAGGCTGCACAGAGCGAGATGGAGGGCAGGGCACGGCGGGCACAGCAGCAAGGAAGGGTGCAGATGAAGACGGAGAGCATGTGAGGTCCAGGTGCCGCATCACAAGCACACCGTACCATGCCACATCACTGCCCAAGCCATCTACATCGCGCCCGGAAAGTGATATGAACGGCACCTTACGTGCAACACACAGCAAGAGCACTGAGAGGGCGAAGCAAGAGCACTGAGAGGGTGCAGGAAGAGCACTGACAGGGCGCTTGTAGACGCGGTAGTCGTCACCTGTGAAGCCAGGGATGCGCATGTGCCAGCTGCGCTCTGCCACACACACACGCAACACACAGGCAGCAGTGGGTGGCGGCACGGTACGGCATGGAGGCGACGAAGGACACAGCGGAGGGTGCGGGTGGCGCAAAAGAAACGAGCAGAGTGGAAAGGCAGGGTGGTGGAGGGAGGGCGGCAGGGAGGCGCACCGAGGTGCAGCAGAACGTCCTTTGCCTCCAACACCTGCGATTTGCGATGCCTCGCCAGCTGGCAACCAAACGCCGTCACCTGCCCTCACACAGACATGCACGCACACATACCATCCATGCACACATACCATCCAATCACACATGCCATCCATGCACACATGCCATCCAATCACACATGCCATCCATGCACACATGCCATCCATGCACACATGCCATCCATGCACACATGCCATCCATGCACACATGCCATCCATGCACACATGCCATCCATGCACACATGCCATCCATGCACACATGCCATCCATGCACACATGCCATCCATGCACACATGCCATCCATGCAAGCATGATTAGATGTAGGGATTGGATCCAATCACATGAAACATATGCATCGGAAAAACCAACAATATGAGGGAGTGCCAAGTAGGTGGCGGGCTAGCGAGTGCAGTGAGAAGTGGGGAAGGGACTGGGGGACGAACGGATTGGATGAAGTCGTCGGCGAGGTCTAGCAGCACCTCCTCCACCTCGGGGTCCAGCTGCATGCGCGCATCCACCTGCCCAGCCCGCCACATGCCACATGCCACAGATTTCATCCCATGTCGTTACCCATATCATGCCAAAGTACTTTCAGGGGACTGAGTCAACATGTAAACTATGGGCATGGTGCGTGCATGCAGCCAAGAGCACTCAACATCTGGCCTGTGCATCCTTTGACTGACCCACCCGCTGCCTACCTGCTTTGCCAGTTCCTGCAAAGTCCTCTTTCCCAGAAGCTTCTTGCCCTCCACATTGGCGTGAGCAGCATTGCCTGCACCAGTTGCGGCCTCCCCTGAGCCGCTGCCTGCAGCAGCAGCACCTGGTCGCCCTGGCACCCTGCCAGCCGCCTGCTGTGCTGCCTGTGCCGCCTTCGCCTGTTGCTGCTGCTGTTGCTGTTGCTGATGTTGCTGTTGCTGCTGCTGCTGTTTCTGCTGTTGTTGTTGCTGTTGTTGCTGCTGCTGCTGTTGCTTTAGTTGTTGTTGTTTCTGCTGCTGCTGTAGCTGGTGGTGATGCGGAGAGGGGGCAAAGTGTTGCTGCTTGCCCTGGGTGGGCGACAAGGGAGACATGCCTCCCACCGGCCCATGCTGCCCGTGCTGCTGTGGGATGGGCGCGGGGTGCAAGAGGAGATGAAGGAGTGGGAAGGACGATGTGCAACGCGGACAGGACAGGGAGGGCAAGAAGCAGGGAGTAAGAGCGTCAGGGAGGGAGTGGACGGAAGTCAGAAAAAAGGGGAAAAATGATGCGGGGGGCGTGGGGACACAGGGAGAAGGCGAGACGAGACAGTGAAGGGGGGAGCATAAAAGGAAAGGGAGATGAGAGTAGGGATGCACGAGATGGGGAGGCGGGCACGCAGCGGTCTGTGAGCATCCGCCTGTGGGGACGCCCTTGTTTGCCTCGCTGCCATGCCACCCACCCACGCCATGCCTCGCACAACCATGCGCAACGCATCGCACCGCATTGCACCACATCACACCACACCGCACCTGTGCGCCTGCCTGTCCCCTGGCTCCATATCCCATGCCGCTTGACCCCACCACCCCCCTTCCATGCTGCTCTGCCTGCTCCGTTCCCCCCTGCCCTCCGCTTCCCCCCACCTGCTGCATTCCGCCCCTCGCGCCTCCCCCTGGGCTGGCGCTGTAGCCTTGCTGCTGCAGGTGTGGCGCAGAGGGGGAATAGGAGGCTCCGCCAGGCGACGCGGATTGCGCCTGTGAGGGGTATTGGGGGGCCGCTGAGGAGGGGGAGAAGTGCGAGGACATGGTGGGGGTGGACTGGGGGCCGCGCATGTTGGCGGGGAGGTGCAGGGAGGAGGGCAGGGCGGGCAGTGAAGCAGAGGAGCTTGGGGAAGCGCCGGCCTTCCCCATACTTGGCGGCATGGCGGAGGGGGAAGGCCCACCTTGCGCGGAGGCGTTAGGGTTGTTGGCAAGCGCAGACGAGCGCAGCTGCGCGCTCGCCGTGGGACTCATCATTCCCCCCATCGCGCCACCTGCCAGTCCGCCCGGCGCGTTAGCGGCAAGTGCGTAAGGGGGAGCGACGCGCGACATGGGGTAGGAGCCGGGCTGCGAGGGGGAGGGCGTGGAGGGCAAGGGGGAGGCGGCGGGGGCCCCTGGAGGAGGCATGAGGGCCGACGGCGAGGAGTGCAGCGCGTGGGCGGCGGGGGAGGCACCGTCGGCGTGCGGCAGGTGGGTGGGCATCGTGGACAGAGCGCGCGCTCGGAGAGGCGAAAGTCGCGGGGAGCGGCGGCGAGGTTAACGCGGAGAGCGGGTCGACGCGAAGGATGGCGGTGAAGGCGAGGCGACAAGGACACGTGGCCTCACGACACGAGGACTCGCGAACCTCAGTGAGCACAGCAATGGCTGGCTTGCGACAACGAATGGATGGAGCGACTGACGGGCGCGACGGGTAGGTAAGGTAGGACGACGACAGTGAGTAGAACTCACGAGGCACGTGCAACGACGGTGAGGTGAGAGCAGCGCGAGACGGAGATGGAGTGAAAGTGCGAGAGGGAAGGTGGGGTGAAGGGACACAGCTTGGGGCAGGAGGTTGTGGGATAGTTGTGGGCTATCCGTGCCTGCACCATTCTTTTGTCACATGAGGCGTGTAGAAATGGTGGTTTGTATTTCAATATCGAGTATGAGCACCAATCACTGGATCATGTGTGAATTTGGGTTTGAACTCGAATGACGGAAAGCTGATCCTCGCTTGAATTTCGGACTCGACTCACGAAACTCGCATAGCCGCTCTGCGGGAGAAGAATCCTTGGAGTGCCGTTTTCCGTCACACATCAGATTCGTGCGTCGCATTCGTCCTCAGGCAGTGCGCGCAATCGCCGTCGCTTTAGACTGGGCGCTCCCACCCTATGCCGTCGCGCACGCTGATTGCACCATTCCACCTGTGATGCACGTGGCTGGTAGGTGTTAGGTGACCCGAGCGCGCGGCATCATGGGCAGGACAGAATGGGGAGGCGCGGATGGGGACGACGACGTGGGCAGTCCGGGGAGGGCGGAGGGGCCGACAGCGGAGGAGGCGGGGAAGCGGAGGGAGCGCATGGGGGCGGAGATGCGCAAGGCGGTGGCGCAGCTGGACAAGGCGGAGCCCGCCGCCGTTATCGACGGGTTGCAGCGCCTGCACGCGCGCATCGTGAAGCACGGCGCGCGGGCCGTCGACGCGTACGTGCGCGTGTCGCCGCCGGACTGGCTGCAGCTGCTCCGCCTGTGGGACGCCTGCCACCGCCGCGGCGCCTCGCACCAGGTGGGTCCGCCGCCCCTTGCGCTCCCCGCGTCGCTGCGCACTCAAGTTGCAACGCCCTGATCACGCGCTGCTCAACCCCCAACCCGTAATCCCGCTCGTAAACCCTGGGCCCAGAACCTCTCACTTTCCCGGCCTCCGTGTTCTCACAGTGTCCCTCTCTCCTTCTTCGCGTCCCCCATCGCGTCCGTCTGCAGGTGGCTCTCCCCCTCATGGCGGTGCTGGCGGACATCCTCGCCCTCGCCGCGCACACGCCGCGCCCTCTCCCCCACACACCCGCGCGCGCCCCTCCCTCCGTCCCTCCACCTGTGCTGGGCGCGCCTCTGTCTCTCCCCCGCCGCATAGAGGCGTTGGCGCGCGCCCTGCTGCCGCGGTGCTGCAGGAAGGGCGGCCTCTACGCGCATCTCTCCTCCCCTTCCCACGCGCACGCCACCTCCGCCCTGCGCCTGCTGCTCGCGCTCTCCCTCATCACCCCCGCCCTCACGCGCTACCTCCTCCTCTCCTTCGACTTCTCCCTCCCTGCCCTCCCCGCCCTCACCCAGCCCCCCGCGCCCTCCCAGGCGCCGGGCAGCGGGGGGAGAGGGAGAGGCGAGAGGGGGAAGCACGTGGGCGCACGAGGGGGGGCAGCAGGCGCCGTGTTCTGGTCTGGCACACCAGCGGTGGTCGTGGGCGGCGAGCAGGGGGAGCAGGCGGAGCAGGGGGAGCTGGGGGAGGAGGGGGAGGAGTTGGAAGAGGGGGAGGAGGGGGACGAGGGGGTCGAGGGGGCGCTAGGGGTGTTGCTGGGCAAGCAAGGGGAGGGGGCGTGCGCGGACGTTGGGGAGGTGCCAGCGCGCGTGCTGATGGCGGAGTGGGTGGTGGCGTGCCTTGCTGTGGCGGACGCCGCCACTCTCACGCACGCCCTCGTGGCGCACAGGCACAACCTGGCCGGCATTCTCTGGCGTCTAGTGGGCGACCACCCCGTGACAGCTGGCAAGGTGTTGTGGGTGCTGCAGGCGCGGGTCATGGCTGCCAGTAGCAATGTGCCACGTGGCCTGCAGGGAGCTCTGTTCGGGGATAGTGCGCTTGAACAGATGGCGCGTATGGCGGGGAGGGAGGAGGGGGGGCGGCGGGGAGGGGGGTGCGGGGGCGGTGGCAGCAGGGATGGCGCTGCAGGTGCTCCTGGCCGTGTGCACGCACGCCCGCCATGGCGTGCTCGTGGGGGGAAGTGGGGGGGGCGCGCTTCAGGGGAGACCGCAGGAGGGGATGGAAGAAGGGGGGGAGGGGGAGGATATGGCGGAGGAAGGGATTGGAGCAGGGGGCAAGGAAGGGCAGGGGGGAGCGGCGGGCACGGAGGGTGCGGGAGGGGTGTGGGAGGGGGAGTCGGGCAAGGGCGGATTGGCCTCCTCCGCTGCCGATTCCCAAGCCTCCTCTCATTGGTCGGCCGGCATGGATCGTCTCATTCGCCTCGCGCGTGGACTGCATGTGCTGCAGTGTGCGGCGCACCGCTCGCTGCTGCTGGCCATGGCCCAGGCGTGCCCTCCCCTGGCTGCCGCCTACCTGCAGCGCCCTCCCTTCTCGCTGCACCCCACGCCGCATGCCCACTGGTATGACGCTGCCATGTGCCTTGCTTCACCCCAAACACCTTCTTGCACTGAACAGTTTTTCCACTTCTCATCCACTTCCTCTCATCTTCTTTCTTCTCCTCGCCCCTCTTGTCTCTCAGTCTCCATCATCCCGTTATCCCAATCGCCCCATCAAATGGCCCCTAACGCTCGCCCCCCACCCGCCCATGCCGCACCCCCCCTCCCCCAGGTTCGCGGGCATGGCCCTGGTGAGCCGCCTCGTGCGCATCTGCTCCACAATGCCCCTCCTCTCCGCCTCCGCGCCCTTCTCCCTGCACCTCCCCTCGCCCAACGTCTCTCCTCTCCTCGCCCGCGTGCTCCCCCCGTGCCTTCCGCGCCCCGCTCTCACGCGCGCCCTGCTGCACCGCTCGCCCCGTGTGCGCCTGCTGGCGCTCTGCACGCTGCTCGACTGCCTCTCCGCCGCCCTGCCCCTCCTCGCCCTCGCCCTCCCCCTCGCCGCCACGCACGCCGGCGCGGGTGCAGCGGGAGAGGCAGATGAGGGAGGCGAGGGAGGGTTGTGGTGGGCGAGAGCGAATGAGGGTGGGGATGGGGGAGAGAGGACGAGCGAGGTGAATGTGGAGGCGGTGGAGGCACGGCAGGTGGCGGGCAGGTATTGGAGCGTGGTGGTGGCGGGAGTGCGCGTGCATGTGGTGGGCGCCGTGCCCGACGTGCAGATCGTGCTGGGCGTGCTGGCTGCCTCTCAGCCCAGCAGGGGCGAGGGGGGCGCGGACGAGGGCGGACACGTGGCCCCACGAGAGGGGGCAGTGTGTGGGGTGAGGCGGGCAGGGGGCGCAGGGGAGGGCGGCAGGCGGAAGAGAGGGCGGGGTGCAGCAGGTGAGTGGCAGGTGATGGAGGACGGGGGGGGTGAGGGGGAGGAGGGGAAGGAGGAGGAGGGGGAGGGAGAGATGGGAGAAGTAGAGGAAGAAGCGGAGGAAGAGGAGGGGGAGGAGGGGGAGGAGGGGGAGGAGGTGGGGATGGATGATGAGATGGATGACGAGGAGGAGGGAGGGCGCTGGTCGGTTCGCCTGCTGTTGCACTGCAAGGCTCTGCGCCTCCTCGCTCTCTACCAGGTACTCCTCGCTCTCTACCAGGTACTCCTCGCTCTCTACCAGGTACTCCTCGCTCTCTACCAGGTACTCCTCGCTCTCTACCAGGTACTCCTCGCTCTCTACCAGGTACTCCTCGCTCTCTACCAGGTACTCCTCGCTCTCTACCAGGTACTCCTCGCTCTCTACCAGGTACTCCTCGCTCTCTACCAGGTACTCCTCGCTCTCTACCAGGTACTCCTCGCTCTCTACCAGGTACTCCTCGCTCTCTTCCAGGTACTCCTCGCTCTCTACCAGGTACTCCTCGCTCTCTACCAGGTACTCCTCGCTCTCTACCAGGTACTCCTCGCTCTCTACCAGGTACTCCTCGCTCTCTACCAGGTACTCCTCGCTCTCTTCCAGGTACTCCTCGCTCTCTACCAGGTACTCCTCGCTCTCTACCAGGTACTCCTCGCTCTCTACCAGGTACTCCTCGCTCTCTACCAGGTACTCCTCGCTCTCTACCAGGTACTCCTCGCTCTCTACCAGGTACTCCTCGCTCTCTACCAGGTACTCCTCGCTCTCTACCAGGTACTCCTCGCTCTCTACCAGGTACTCCTCGCTCTCTACCAGGTACTCCTCGCTCTCTTCCAGGTACTCCTCGCTCTCTACCAGGTACTCCTCGCTCTCTACCAGGTACTCCTCGCTCTCTACCAGGTACTCCTCGCTCTCTACCAGGTACTCCTCGCTCTCTACCAGGTACTCCTCGCTCTCTACCAGGTACTCCTCGCTCTCTACCAGGTACTCCTCGCTCTCTACCAGGTACTCCTCGCTCTCTACCAGGTACTCCTCGCTCTCTACCAGGTACTCCTCGCTCTCTACCAGGTACTCCTCGCTCTCTACCAGGTACTCCTCGCTCTCTTCCAGGTACTCCTCGCTCTCTACCAGGTACTCCTCGCTCTCTTCCAGGTACTCCTCGCTCTCTACCAGGTACTCCTCGCTCTCTACCAGGTACTCCTCGCTCTCTACCAGGTACTCCTCGCTCTCTACCAGGTACTCCTCGCTCTCTACCAGGTACTCCTCGCTCTCTACCAGGTACTCCTCGCTCTCTACCAGGTACTCCTCGCTCTCTTCCAGGTACTCCTCGCTCTCTACCAGGTACTCCTCGCTCTCTACCAGGTACTCCTCGCTCTCTACCAGGTACTCCTCGCTCTCTACCAGGTACTCCTCGCTCTCTACCAGGTACTCCTCGCTCTCTACCAGGTACTCCTCGCTCTCTACCAGGTACTCCTCGCTCTCTACCAGGTACTCCTCGCTCTCTTCCAGGTACTCCTCGCTCTCTACCAGGTACTCCTCGCTCTCTTCCAGGTACTCCTCGCTCTCTTCCAGGTACTCCTCGCTCTCTACCAGGTACTCCTCGCTCTCTTCCAGGTACTCCTCGCTCTCTACCAGGTACTCCTCGCTCTCTACCAGGTACTCCTCGCTCTCTTCCAGGTACTCCTCGCTCTCTACCAGGTACTCCTCGCTATCTACCAGGTACTCCTCGCTCTCTTCCAAGCAAATTGTGTCTTGCCTCGCGTGCACCTGCTGCTTCGCTTTCCTCATGCCCGCTTCCCCCTTTCTCCTCCCCCCTGCCTGCCTGCTGCATGCAGAGGGTGGTGCCGGCTGCTGTGGCCGCCTGCCATGTGGATCCGCTGCGCTTCCTGCGCGCCGACCTGCCCTCGCTGCCCCCCCCCTTGCTGCGAGCCACTCTGCGCCTCCTCCTCGCCTTCTTCCCACCTCCTTCTCAACGCACCCTCACATTCCCCGGGCCTGGGACTGGAGGATCGCACAGCACGCTGCCCCTGCCTGCACCGGCTGAAGCGCCACCGGCTGGGGACGAGTCCCTCTGCACCTTTCCGCTGCACAGCCACCTGCTGCCGCTGCTGCTGCTGCGCCTCTCCCCCCCGCCCGCTGACCTCGCGCCCGATGTTGACTGGCTCTGCACCGCTGCCATGCTCTCCTCACATGCATTCCATGCCCGCCAATCAGAGGCTGTCATCTGGCTTCGCTTCCTGCCCACCATGGCGCCTGGCAGTGCTGGCAGCAGTGCGGCGGCAGCACGGGGGGTGGCGGCGTTTCTGGCGGATGCCGTGGCGTGTGTGGCCCGCGCGCCCCTCAAGTACCTGCTCGCCCTCCCTGCCGCCTCTCCACCCCCCGCCCATGCATCCCACTGCCCCTCCTGCCGTGCCCGGGGCCACACCCCCATGGGCTCCCTGGGTCCCTTCCCTGCCTGCATTCTCACCAACTGCATCAAAGTGCTGCATGCAACCTCCCCCTCCCCCGCCTCCTCCTCTTCCTCCTCTTCCTCCTCCTCCTCTCTGCCAGTGCAGCTTGCCATCGCCACCTTCACCTGCAACGCCCTCACGCACCTCATCTCCCTTCAGGTGCCTCACTGCTTACCCCTTGTTTCTCCTCCTTTGCTCAAATTTCTCCCTTCTCTGCTCAAGGCCCCAACTCAGTCTTTGTTTATTCCTCAGTTCCCAACTTCCTTCCACCCCCTCCATCCCTGTAGCGCCCGCTCAAACCATGTCTTGCCACGTGCATGCTGCTGCTGCATCCACACACTCATTCCCTCCTTTGTCCGTTCCTGCACCCTCCTGTGTCCGTGCCTGCACCCTCCTGTGTCCGTGCCTGCACCCTCCTGTGTCCGTGCCTGCACCCGTTCTGTCCGCCTTGTCCTGCCCGCCTCTTCTCTTCTCGTTGCCGTGGCTATCAACAGGAATGCCCTCTCCCGCTCGCTGCTCTCATCACTCACATCCTCCGCCCTGCCCTGTCCTCCTCCTCTTCCACCACCACCTCCCCCTCCGCCTCGTCCTCCCCCACGCCACACGGTCGCCCCCCTCTCTCTGCGTCGCTGCTCTGCCTGCAAGCGCTGCTGGAGTCGGCCGCCTCGCTGCTTCCTGCTCAAGCTGAGGGGCAGCCCGCGGGGAGGGGAAAGAGGCCGCACAGTGCGGCTGGGGCGGGTGCTCACAGCTGCGACGCCTGTGATGCTGGCAAGCGCGCAGCAGTGGAGGCAGCAGTGGGGGCGGCAGAGGCGGAGCAAGCGAGTGGCAGGGACGCTGCCCTCTCACACTTCACTCTCGCCCTCTCCTCTGCCCATCCACCCTCGCTCATCTCCCTCCTCCCTCGCCTCGCCTCGCTCGCTGCCTCCCTTCCTCCACCCGCCATGCCTCTTCTCTCCTCCACTCTCTGTGCGCACGCCCTCCTCCCCTCGCTGCTGCCAGTGCACGCGCCTGTGCTGCTGGAAGCGAGTGTGCTGGCGCAGCAAGCACTGCTGCCTGCCGCCACCTGCCACCACCACCACATGTCCCCCGCAGTGGCCTCACCACTGCCTCTCCTCCTCCCCCCCATGCCCTCTTCTCCCCACCCCTCCACGATTGCTCTCTCCCACCTCCTCCTCTCCCTGCCCTTTGCGCCTCTGCTCTCCCTGTGCGTGCGCGCCCTGCTCGCCCCCCTCAAGCTCCACCGCCGCCTCGCCTCCTGCCTTGCTGCGCTGCTGCTGGCCCGCCTGCGCCTGCCGTCGCCCCCCGTGCTGCAAGAGAGGGCCGCAGGGGCAAGCCACGCACGCCTGGGCGAAGGAAGTTTGTGGGGGGAGAGGAGGGGGGAGGTGGGGAGGGCTGTTGTGTTTGAACTGGGGCGAGTGCTTGGCGTGGGTACGGCGGGGGGCGAGCAGGTGGGGGGGGCGGAGTGGAGGCGGCGGCAGCGCTGTGTGCGTGTGTGCATGGCGGCACTGGAGGCCACCCTCATGCCGCCACCGCTGCCCTCGCCCTCCCACCCCGTGCACGCTGACAGCGCGTGGAGCGACGGACGGGACGAGCAGGGGCAGCAGGGTGGAATGGAGGATGAGAGTGCTTGTGAGTTCATGGCGCAGGCAGCTGACGTCATGTCACACCCTCTGCTCCTCGCAACATTCACAGGCCACCTGGATGACGCCACTGCCTCGCCCTCTGCACACCTCTCCTCCCTCCTCACCTTCCTCCGCTTGTCCATCTCCCGCCTCCTCCTCCGCCTCCTCTCCTTCTCCCATCCCCTCCACCACTCTCTTCCCGACTCGCCCTCGCCCGCCCCCCCACCAGCCGAGGGCACCCTTCTCCTATGGCAGGCCTGTCAGCCATTCCTGTGCGCCGCCCACCACTCCCTTGCTGCCTCCCTCGCGCCCTTCCTCCCTCCCCACTCCCCGTCCCCCCCTGCCTGCGCCTCGCCTGTGCGCTCTGCCTCGCATGCGGTGGTGCTGGTGGCGCCAGGGAGGAGCGGCGAGGGCGGGGTGGGGGGCAGAGCGCAGGAGCAGAGCAGGGTGTGGCGACAGGTGGGAGGAGGGGCGCTGGGCGACTGGCACTTCGACTTCAACACCAGCTGTGTCACGTGGAGGGGGGAGGGAGATGGCGGGGGAGGAGCGGAAGGGGCTGGGGAGGAGGCAGTGCAAGAGGAGGCAGCGCAAGGGGTGGCAGTGCCAGTGAGCGTGGTGGTGGCGCTGTGGCTCTCTCGTTTCATTGCCCTGCCGTGCCACTCCTCCCCGTCTCCCCTTGTGCAGCCCGCCCCTCCCTGTGCCTCTGCTATTCAGCCCGCTCTTGCCCCTTCCTGTCCGCACGTCACCCGTGTCCCCTCCTCGCCCTGCCTTGCCAGCCTGGCAGCATGGGCGGGATGGATGGCAGCAGTGCTGCAGGGAATGGCGCACGGGAGGATGGCGGATGGGAGCATGGTGATTGGGGGTGGGGCAGCAGGGGATGGTGAGAGGGAGAGTGTGAGGGGGGCATGTGAGCACATGGCGTTGACAGTTGCATGTGTCACATTCCAACACGCCAAGGCAGCTGTGGGCGAGGGGCGTGGTGGGTTGCCGTGGGTGGCCCCACAGCCACTGCCGCAGGCACTGCAGCACAGCACTTCACGTGGGGGGGCGAACGTGTGTGCGCATGGGGCGCTCACAGCGCTGGTGGAGGCGGCCCTGCACGCGCTGCTCACACGGGCCACACGCCAAGCAGAGCACACAGCTATCGCGGCACTGGAAGCTGCCGTGCACCTGCCCTGCCTGCACATCTGGCCAAGCCCTGTGGCGTGCCACGCACCGTGCTCGCACGTGGCGCGTGTGTGCCCTGCAGCCCTTGAGCGGCGCGTCATTCACTCGTGCGTGCACCACCCCTCGTGGCGCCGTGGCAACCTGCTCTCGCTGCTCCTCGCTGCTCACGCACGCCCTGAGGAGCGCACAGGGAGCAGCAGGGTGGCGGGCGAGGTGGTGCAGGCTGTGGCTGAGTGGATGGGTGGCGAGGAGAGGCAGTGGTCGGGCGCACGCTCAGCGAAGGGTGTGAGGGGCAGGGCGGATGCAGGAGGTGGTGTGGGGCATGCGTGGTGGCAGGATGGGGACGGGTGGATACGCATGCTCATGCTGCTGCCTGCAGTGGCTGTTGCTGTGGGCGAGGAGGGCGAGGGTGGAGGGGCAGCAGGTACGAGTATGGTGGCGTGCACGTACAGAGACATGCTCCTCGCCCTGCTTTCTCCCTGCACCCCGCCCTATACCGCCGCAATCACCCCTCCCTGCCACCTTCCCCTCTCCCATCTTCCTCCTCACATCCTTCCCTCCTTGCTATCGTACGTCCCCGCTCTTCTCCACTCGCTGCTGCTCGCTCATCCCCTCCCCCGCTTGCGCCTCGCCTCGCTCGTCCACGTGGTGGTGCCACACGAGCAGCAAGAGGGCGGTATGCAGGGGGGAGGCAAGGGCGCACGTGGAAAAGGGAGGGGCAGTGGGAACGGCAGGGGGGAGGTGGAGGACAGTAGAGGAGGGGTGATTGGAGGTGGGGGGTGGCGCGTGCAGGGGGGCTGTGTGACGGCTGACTCGCTGCTGCAGGTGGCACTGGCGTCCCGGCTGGCCTGCACCGGCCCCGTGCCCACGGCGCCCTGCAGCACTGGTAGCGCTGCTGGTGCTGGCAGTGCCGGCGCTGGCAGCTGCAGTGGGGAGAGGGAGAGCACGAGAAGGGTTTGGGGAACACCTGCTGCACAGATGAGGGTTTTGGCTGCCCTTTTGAATCTTCTTGGAAGCATCTTCCCTCTCGCACCAGAGGCACAAGTGGCTGTGGTGACGGGCAGTGGTGGTGGCAGTGGGTGCGGGCAAAGAAAGCGTGTGGGGGGAGAAGGTGAGAGGGCAGTGGGTGGTGGGCGGGTGACAATGGCAGCGAGAGAGCTTCAGCAGGTGGCTGCCGTGCACGTGGCTCGTGTGGCCACGCACCTGGCACGTGCACTCACTGCTGCTCCACCTGCTCCCGTGTCGCCACACCCGCCACCATCTCCCACCGCCCCGCTCGTCCCCCTGCCTCTGCTGCAGCACGGCCTGGCCTCGCTGCGCCTTGCAGCCGTGGCGTGCCTCAAGCACCGCTTCGCCCACCCTCTCGCCTTCCACTCCCTCACCCTCGCCTGCCGTGCCCTGCTCGCCGCCGCCACTGCCCCCTCCGTGCACCCACCGAAGCATCCCGTGCCAGCAGCACCGCCACCGTCACAATCGCCGTCACAAGCCGCGGCAGCAGCGGTGTCCAGCGTGGGGTGCGCCCTCTTGGACCTCCTCCTCGCGCACTCTCGCACTCTGCCTCTCCTCCTCTCCCCCTCCGCTGGCCCCTCCGCCGCCCCCCTGCCTGCAGCGCTGGCCCACCAACTGCACAAGGACAGCAGCAGAGCTGTATCGCTCCCGTCGCCCCTCTCCCTCATCCCCTCTCCCCTCCTCCCCGATCTCCCCCTCATTGCCGCATCCTGCCCGCCCTCTTCTGCTCGCAGTCCTCCCGGGGCAGCGTGGCAGGTGCAAGAGGGGCAGCGAGATGCAGACAGGGAGGAGTTGGGGGAGGAAGCAGAGATGGGGGCAGGCGTTGAGGTGAAGGTGCGGGCCAGTGAGCTCCTGCACTCGTGCCTTCACTCCCCCATGCTCTGGCCGCTCGCACTGCCATGCGAGGCACCAAACCATGCAACGAGGGAGGGAAGAGAGGGTGGAGAGGGGGAGAGGGCTGACGGGGAGGCAGGAAAGCGAAGGAAGAGGACGAGGGGAAAGGGAGGATCAGAGGGGGATGAGGAGGGCGAGTGTGCAGGTGAGGGCGCAGCGCGGTTGGAATTGCTGCGGCTGATGACTGTCTTCTTGCGAATGAGGCTATGCCACGTGTCTGGCCGTGTGTGCTCCTCGGCGTGTCGCCGTGCCATGCAGTCGCTCTTTGCGCTGCTGCTCGCCCTCTACGGCGCCACCCTCAGCCCCACCGACCGCGCGCTGCTCGCCCTCATGCACCTCCTCACACGCCTTGCACGCCGCGACATGCCACGTGCGGCAGCCCACATCGAGGGGGGGGAACAGCAAGCTGCGCAGGCAGCAAGGGATGCTGATGGGGTGAGCGCGGTGGGTGCAGAGGAGTTCCTGGGTTTTGAGTGGTTTGACTATCTTTGGGGCCAGGGGGCCGCATCACGCTGGGAGTGGCAGCAGGGGAGGGGACGAGCACCAGCACAGGCAGGGGGTGAGGGCCAGGCAGAACGTGCTGCACAAGATGGCAGGGAGATGGGGGTAGCGAGGGGGAAGGAGGTGGGTGGGAATGGTGATGGTGTGTTTGAGGGGCGCGAGCAGCGGCAGTGGCGGTTCTGGTGGGAGGAGGCGGCGGTGGACGCCACGCGCTGTGGGCTGCTCGTGCTCGCCTTCCCTGCCCTCCGCCACGCACACCTGGGGGGGGATGCAGGCGAGCAGGGGCGAGATGGAGAGGGAGGGGGAGTGGAGGACGTGGAGCAGGAGAGCGAGGGGGTGAGTGAGTGGATGGGGCACGGGGGCACGCGCATGTGCATGTGCAGTGCGAGCTGCAGGGGAGGCCAGGGTGACCCTTGTGTGCGGCAGCAGGCTGGGAAGGGCCACCCCCTGCGCGGGTCAGCAGCAGCTCAGGACGTGGCGGTGCAGCAGGCCGCCTACGACCCCGCCTTCCTGCTCCCCTTCACCCTGCACGCCCTCTCCCGCCGCCTCCTCTCCCCCCGCATGGCTGCCCGCTCCGGCCTCGTGGCGGCTGCCATTGCCAGCCTGGCGTCGGCGCAGCACAGCATGCGGCGCCTGGGCTACGCCACCCTCGCACTCTTCGCCGCTCTGCTCGAGGTATGTGCGCTGCTGCAAGCCATTTTGGGCTCAAGTAGCGCTGCTCAGCTGATGATGCTGGCATGCATAAGAGAACAGCGGGAAGAGTGATATAACTGGTAAGATCTTACATTGTTCCCAGCACTGATGTCTTCCTCTGCATCTCCCCTGCACCTTTCATCCACGCGGTGTACATCTGTTCCGCCCCGTTGGTTGTGGAGTGGAGTGGAGCAGGAGCAGGAGGAGGGGTGGAGGGAGCAGCACGCCGTGCAGCACGTGGTGCGCTGTGTGCGGGCCACCGTCACCACCACGTGGCAGCGCCTGCCGCGCCTCTCTGTGCTCTTCATGGCGGAAATGCTCCAAGTCATGCACCTGGGGGGAGCCTCTCCTCTCTTTCCTCTCCTCTCCCAATCGCTTCTCTCCCAACCATCCTTCAACCCCACGGTAGGGCTCCGATGCTTCTTTCCATCTCCTCTCTCTTCCCACCTGCGGTCCCCTTTGCCTCATTGTTGGTCCTCATCATTGTTGGTCCTCATCATTGTTGGTCCTCATCATTGTTGGTCCTCATCATTGTTGGTCCTCATCATTGTTCCACTCCCCCTTCCCACCACTGCAGACCGTGCCATTGCTGCTGCCGTGCCTCATGAGCGGCTCGCCCCACCACCGCGCCCAGCGCACGTGGCTGCTGCACCTCCTGGCCGCCCTCGCCCTCCCACCCTTCCATGCCTCCTCTGCAGCCTCCGCCCCTTTGATACTTCCCCTTGCCCCACAACCGGCTGCTGGAGGGGAAGGGCAAGAGATGGGTGGTGGCAGGGGGGACGGTGACAAGGTCGGCAATGGGGATGGGGGCAGTGGCAACGCAGACGAAGGACACGAGGCTGGCAGTTTTGAGGGGGATGCTGTTCTGCGGCGCCGCTTTGTTGTGGAGCTTCTGGGAAGTTTCTTCGCGTGTGGGGTGAGCGATGTGTTCACCTGCAAGCTGATTCTGCAGGTGCTGCGGCGCGTGTGCTGCCTGCCGTCGTACGCGGGCCACCTGGTGCGGCAAGGCGGGCTGCTGCTGTGGCTCACAGCCGTTGTGCTCTCTGCCTCGCACAGCCTCCACCGTGCCCACGCCCACACCGCCCACCTCGCTCTCCTGCTGCCTACCACTCCACGCGCACTGCAGCTCGCTGGATCCCCTGCAGCCACAGCAGGAGCACCTGCTGCAGGGCGGGCAGAGGGGAGGCAGTCAGAAGTTGATGTTCTAGCGCTCGCGGTGGAGGTTAGTGGCTTTGCAATATGCCGCCAAGCACAGCAGCCCGCAGCGTTGCTGTCAAGTGGTGTTGTCTGTGGTTCGCAATGCTGTCATTTTGTTTATTCAATGGGTTTGATGTTCTTGTTCATGCCTTTTTTCGTTTCGGCTCCCCTCCCACACCCCTTCTGTGTGCTCCTCCCACCAGGTGCTGCATGGGCTGCTCTCATGCCCATGCATGCATGCAGCACTGCTCTCACATGCCACCTCAACTTCCCATCACCTCCTCCTCCTCACCTGTGCATTGGAACGTGCGTTACACACAGTGTCTCACAGCACCCAGCCCCTCTCGCCCTCTTCCCTTGGGCTCGCAAGGCTCACCCATGCTGCCCTGGTGCAGCTGATTGCGGTGTTGCCAGAATTCAGAAAGCACTTAGGGAAATAGCAACCGTTAGCAGTGATGCGTGCAAGTTGTGGAGTTGTCTAAAAAGGTTAAACTTTAGAGCAGGATAACAATCATACCCGTAATTTCCCAGATAAAAGACCCCCTTCAGTTGTAGACCCCCGGGTCTATAAATACGGAGGGGGGTACGCTAAATAGGTCGTTCGTAGTTAGACTCCCCTTTTGGGGGGCTAACATTATAAGACCCCCTGGCTGGCATACTCCGCCTTGAACGGCTTCGGCTTGGTGCGCTCTGCCTCGTCCGCCATGGCGATGGCATGTCTAGTACGCAAAGGATGATGGTCCGTCTTGTCAGAATCTAACGAGCAGGAATGAATGAACTAGCAACAAGATGGGTACAAGTAGGATACCCTAATTGGGTTGTACCCCATATGGGCTACCCCACTATAGCCTACGTAATTGGGCGGGGTGATGGAAAGAGGGAGAATGGGGCGGGGTGATGGAAAGCGGGAGAATGGGGCGGGGTGATGGAAAGAGGGAGAATGGGGCGGGGTGATGGAAAGCGGGAGAATGGGGCGGGGTGATGGAAAGAGGGACAATGGGGCGGGGTGATGGAAAGAGGGAGAATGGGGCGGGGTGATGGAAAGAGGGAGAATGGGGCGGGGTGATGGAAAGCGGGAGAATGGGGCGGGGTGATGGAAAGCGGGAGAATGGGGCGGGGTGATGGAAAGCGGGAGAATGGGGCGGGGTGATGGAAAGCGGGAGAATGGGGCGGGGTGATGGAAAGAAGGAGAATGGGGCGGGGTGATGGAAAGCGGGAGAATGGGGCGGGGTGATGGAAAGAGGGAGAATGGGGCGGGGTGATGGAAAGAGGGAGAATGGGGCGGGGTGATGGAAAGCGGGAGAATGGGGCGGGGTGATGGAAAGAGGGAGAATGGGGCGGGGTGATGGAAAGAGGGAGAATGGGACGGGGTGATGGAAAGCGGGAGAATGGGGCGGGGTGATGGAAAGAGGGAGAATGGGGCGGGGTGATGGAAAGAGGGAGAATGGGGCGGGGTGATGGAAAGCGGGAGAATGGGGCGGGGTGATGGAAAGCGGGAGAATGGGGCGGGGTGATGGAAAGCGGGAGAATGGGGCGGGGTGATGGAAAGCGGGAGAATGGGGCGGGGTGATGGAAAGAGGGATGTTACGATATGAAGTTTTATGAGAAGGCATTCCTGTATGTTGCAGGAGCCGACTCTACCGAGTACGAAGTCGAGGAGTCAGAAGAGTCGAAGCGACGCAGCAACCGTCTGACCAAGACCAGTGCAGGCAGAAACATTTGAAGTGAAAAAGGCAGGAACAGGTTTGAAACGGGTTCCCGCGCCGCACGGTTTGAAATCGGTTGTAATAAGGGAATGTACCCCTTAGAGTACATGGCTAGTCTAGGTCTTTTCGTATTCCCCTGTATTCTTATATAAACTCGATGTATGCATGCTATTATCAACTCAGTCATTTACATTCACTCTGACCTGAGATTCAAACTTCCGCTGCAACACTACTCTGCGATCAACCTTGAGCGATCCTTCGCTAAGTCCCTTTTGGGATTGTAACATGGTATCAGAGGTACTCAGGGATTCTTCGCAACTTCACTTCCGTGAAATTCGCCAAACCAAGATCTGGCGAGCGGCACACGCTCCAAGACCAAGATGGCCGGAGGATCCGGAGGCCAAGCAAATCTGACGGCTGAAGGACAATCCAACCCGGCTGCGACAAATGAGGCGACAACCACGATCGGCACTGCCGCCCTCGAGCAACTTTTCGCTCGACTTTCAACTATGGAGAAAGAACTCCAAGACCTGCGCAAAGGCGATGCGGGAACCTCTTCCCAACCAGTTCAACCTGGACAACCGGCTGAGAAAAGCCGTGATACCGCCGCGCATACCTTCTCCCTCGACACAGACAAATCAACAACAACTGCCCCCCGTCCAAGTGATGAAGCCATCAACTCTGCGCAAACACGCTTCCTCAGCGTTTCAAAAATCAAAACTACTGCCGCGTTTGACGGCAAGGACTTCTACACATGGAGTTTCGAGCTTGAGCTCCTCCTACAAACGGCGCAGATCTACCATTACTTCGACGGCTCCTATCCTAAACCGGTGGAAAACACCGAAGTCGCCAGGGCTCAATACTACAGTGAGTCCCTCATGGCCTACAGTGTGCTGCTACGCAACATGACGCCTGCGGAACAACTCAACATCCGCTCCTACAAAGAGAGCGACGCTCCAGCCTTGGAAGCCTGGAAGCATCTCGTTGAAGTTTATCAGCCGAAGGATTCGGTCACCGCCAGCAGGCTTCTGCAGCAACTCCTGGAGATAAAAATGGGGCACGGGGAGAAAGCGAATCCTTATATTAACCGCTGTCGCAACATCCGTGACCAGATTACGAAGCATGGGAGTACGATCTCAGAAGAGATCTTCGTCAACATAGTCCTCCAAGGACTCGGGCCTGAGTGGAAGCCCTGCAAGGCGTTACTCCGACAGCGAGGGATAGTTTCAGAAGCCGCGCTATGCGCCGCACTCCTGTCCGAACAGCAGGACATGGACTCGAGCAGAACAAGCTCCGCGCCGCGCCGAGAGCGCCTTGCCTTCTACGCTGACAACCGTGAAGAGCGACGTCTACCAAGGCGCCACTATTGCAAAATATGCAAAGTCTTAGGACATTCAACAGATCGATGCAAGTCCCGATCCAACAATCGCCACCCAAATTCCACTCACCAAAACAACTGGGTCGGCCGACAAGACGCTCGTCATTCTCAACCTCAGCATCAACAAACTCGGTTCCCTGCACAGCATCAACACCAGCAACCTCAAGGACCTCAGTCAGGAGCTCCCAGGAACGTCATCGCGAACATGGCGTCTCGCCGCCGCCGCACCGCCGAACCTGACGAGGAGAACGAAGTCCAAGGAAGACTTCTGGAACCGGAAGAGGGATGGAACAATCCCCTCACTGAAGATTACTATTACATGTATGACGAAGACGAGCAGGATTGGAACCTGCCAATCACTTTGCGGGAAAGCCCGCCGCACGACAATCAACACTACGTACCAGTGGGATGGAAGGAGGACGAAGACCCTCTTTTCTACAGTCGCTACAAGGCAACCCTGGTAACTCCGAGATTGGCGCTACTTCTGCGCCGGAGCAATACCGACAACTACAACACCTGGTACCTGGACAGCTGCTGCGGACAACACATGGTGGGATCTACGCGCTACGTCTCAAATCTGAGCCGCGCCCCCCCAACTTACGTTACCGTCGCCAACAACGAGCAGCTGCGCGCCAACTCACAAGGCATCGTCGTTCTGCAAGCACGAGACAGCAACACTCACATCTCATTCAATGACGTGCTCCACGTTCCGAATCTGCGCTTCAATCTTCTCTCAGCTGGACAACTTCGCGACTGCGGCGTCATTCTCACCACGGACCTCGCCACACGCGATCTCATCCTCACATACGCTCCGCTAGATACCCCTCCCGAATCATTCAAGTATCTCGGACGAGCCCGCTCGATCAACGGGATCTATGTCCTGGACTTCGACGTGCCACCTTGCCAAGCTTCATCCGACGAGCTCGTGGACCTCGTTCCCCTCGAGTTTGCCTTCACAAGCAAATGGGAGCACCCAGATGGACGACCATGGGTTCGCCGCAGTCCTCATCCCCGCGAGATCAATCTGCACGACCCCGACATCAACGGTCTCTGCACCACCTGCCACACGCCCACCGCGAGTCGCACGGAACAAGTTGAAAGGGAGCAAGCGGCAATTCAGGAGGCCGAAAGCGCTGAGGTAGAACCAACAGGCATGACTGAAGAAGAACTCGCCGTGTCATCACACCGCATCTTCGGTGAGCCGAGCAAGAAATTCGGACAGGAACGGGAGGAGAGACCAAGGCCCTATTCGGACACCCTACGCTTCGTCCTAGAAGCCAACACCACTACCTTCGACGATGATGGTCGACCACGTCCCTACACCCGCGAAGTTTACCGACACGAAATTGACCCGGCTTGGAAAGATCCTGACGCAGAAGAAGAACTGAGCGTCAAGGAAGAAGAAGACAAGGCACGGGCGGAAAAGAAACAGAAATTGTTTGAGGAACGTGTCGCGGCTGGATGGGACAAGGAGACCGCACGACGTGGCGCATGGGGAGATGAAGATTACGAACCAGAAGAAGGCGATGGAGCAACCTGGGGATCCGCCACTGGAGCATGGGGAGCCAGCGCCAGCGGCGCAGTCACAACAGGAGGATGGGGCAACACCGGCGGATGGGGAGAAGACGAATACGCGGATGCTCCGCTCACCAAAGAAGAAGAAGAAGAAGGGATTGAACGAGAAATGAAAGCTGAGCGTGGAGAACCATCCCCTCGCGTCGCCATTCCACTCGGACGACCCCCTCGCACCCGCTCACCTCCCTCTTCACCCCATCGGTGGCGCGATCGTTGGTCGGAGATTGAGGAGGGGAACGTACCACCAACTCCTCTGCGGGACTCACTTGGTCCAATCTCACGCCCAGATCCGTTTGCTCGCTTCATCGAAGGCACCACGACCCCGCTAACTATCATCCCTGACCGTGAATTCCTCGCGCTCTATCTCACAACGGCACCTGCAGAAGGGGAGGCAACGGCAGAAGCAGAAGCAGAGGAGCCGGCCAGCGAAGCAGAACCAGGAGAAGAGGAAGAACCCCCACTCCAGATCTCGCAACTCACGGCGGAAGAAGAAGCAGAGCATCACACCCGTTACAAGCGCACTTCCGGCATCCGCGCCGAAGACGACCTCTGGCACCAGCGAATGGGACAACCCTCGCGCCAGACTCTCGCCAACTGCCTCCGCGCCAAGGTTTTCCCGCCAGGAGCACTGCTACGCCCCGACGGAACGGAATTACAGCACAACACCCCTCATCCGGTCACCTGCACTGTCTGCCCCACTGCTGCGCTCACCCACAGCGCCTATCCCTCCCTGGAGCCGAGTACCAACCGCTACAAAAAGCTGGAGAAAGTATACAGCGACTTCATCGTACTCACCCACGACGGCATCAACGGCGAGAAGTATACTCTCACCTTCATCGACGCTTACTCGCGCCACGTGTGGATCGCCAACGTTGACACCCGCTCTAAAGCTCCGGAGGTGTTCCGCATCTTCCTTGCGCACGCGCAACGACAGTCGGGGAGGAAACTGAAGATCTGGCAGAGTGATGGGGCAAAAGAATTTCGCAGCAATGAGCTGGAGAGTGTTCTCACCGAGAAGGGGATTAAACACGAGATTTCTCTCCCCTATGCTCACCAGCAGCAAGGCTTCGCCGAGAGGGTCAATCGCACACTCATGACCAAAGTCCGCGCCATCATGAATCAGTCCGGCCTGCCGAAGAAGTTCTGGCCTTACGCCATGAACCACGCGGTGCGCCTGCACAACCTCCTCTCCACCACTGCCAACAGGGATAACCTGTCCCCTCACATGAAGTGGACCGGCTCAAGGGGAGACCCCTCCATGCTAAGGGTTTGGGGGTGCATGGTGCAATACCGGCCGACCTCGGCCACAATCGGCAAGTTCGTTCATCGCGCGCGCTGGGGTATTCACTTGGGCCTCAGCAATGAGCACAAGGTTTGGCTCATCCTCGACATGGACAGCAAGGAGGTTGTCCCCGCACGCGATATCCTCTTCTACGAGCGACTCACCCTGAAGCAGTGGATCGAGGACGAGCGCCGCAACAAAGCACGCGGCTACGTCAACCACGGTCGCAGCTTCGCGACTCCGGAAGATGCAGCAGCAGCAGCAGCACTGGACCGCGACGACACCGACGAACATCCCAGCATCCCACCACGCCCGCGCGACGACGACGACGATGACAGCGATGACGACCCCGCGCCAGGACCATCACGGCGCCGAGCAGAGCCAAGCACCGCGGCACCCGGCTATGAGAGCGGAGACGACGACGTGGTAGAAGTCCCCACCACCACAGACACCACCAATGTGTCAGGCCTTCAACTTCTCGGCCTGCACACATCCATCTCTACTCTTGCACGGGCCGTGGAACCAAAGAATCCTCGCCAGGCCCTAACCGGTCCTCACGCCAAGGAGTGGCGTGCTGCGATGGATGCGGAGCTCAAGGCGCTGGAATCACGTGACACCTGGGTCCTAGTCGATCGTGCAGCAGTGAAGGGGAGGAGGGTGCTCAGTGGAAAG